GTGCAAGGACTGGTCCCCCGGAGGGGTCAGCAAGGGAGACCGCAACAGGCCGACGGAGCGGCGTGAGCGTGGTGCTGTCTCTAAAGAAAGAGCGCGAAGCACCAGAGTCAAGTGTGAAGGTGTGAAAGGACTCAGTAGGTGCAGTACCAGAGGGAGGAGACGTACCAGCACCTGGAGCAGCAGACGCACTAGCACCTAGAGCAGCAGCCGCACTAGCACCTAGAGCAGCAACCACAGTGCCCGGGTCGGGCGGGACACGCAGGTAACAGTCACCCTCAGTAATATCAGCAAGAGCATACATGGCAGCAAGGATAGCATCAAAATCTAGATCAAAGATAGGCACATTCTGCAGAAGCAGATCATGCCAACGAGGAAGATCAATAGCGTCAGGAAACTGGGTACGCCAAGCGTCAGTCAAGCGGCCAAAGCAGCGCTGCGTGGTGTGTGGGAGATCACACACCTCCCCACTACGAGTGCCGGTGCGAAGCACGTACGCGCAGGGACCTGCACCCCCAGACCTCCCACGTCCAGCGTACCACTCACGAAGCTGCTGAACAGACGGGGTCTCACGGGTGCGCAGCTGCTGCGGACGCTGGCTGCCACCAAGGCCTCCACGCTGCGTGGCCGCACCGCGACCAGCACCACCTCCTCCGCTACCTCCACCACCGCCGCCGCCGCCGCCTCCTCCTCCACCACCGCCGCCACGGCCGCCATTGCCGCCACCTACGCCCCCACTCCCGGAACCACCCCCACCACCACCTCCACCTCCTCCACCTCCTCCACCGCTGCCTCCACCGCCCCCACCACCACCCTTGCTTCCCTTGCCCTTGCCAGTGCGGCGTCGCCCACTAGGGGCAGACGCAGCGCCGACCTCCTCAGTGCCAACGAGGTCGACAGCAGCAGCAAAGGCAACAGAGGGGAGAAGGGGGACAGGGGAACACCCCTCAAAGAAGGGGGTGCGACGGTCACCGCGAGAAGAACCAACAGCTAAGATACTCTTCTCAGCTGCAGCAAGGCGCTCCTCTAGCAAGTCGACAGTCAGCTCGGTGGGGCAAAGGGAGAGAAAGTGGTCCCTGACTGAAGAAAGAGAGTCAGGGAGGCGGGTGACTAGGTAGTAAAGGGTGATGTACATGGTGGCACAGAACTCAGTGGGAAGGGCAGCGCGGTAGCGGGCGTCACTAGTGCGAAGGTGAGCAACTAGGTCAGCGACAGTGGCAAAGGCAGCAAGGTCAGGGAAAAGGTACGGTAGCATGAGGCGGCTGAGGGCAGCAGTGGCAGGGGAGGAGTAGCGTGCAACTACAGCGTCGTACAGAGCCCTAGCACTCTTGTACTGACTAAAGTGCGCGCGCTCAGTAGACGGCAGGTGGTTGCGCACAGCAAGACGAGCAGCAGCATCGCGCGTGAGCCACTGCGAGCGAACAGTACTGTCAGCATCAGCAGTAGGGGCAGTAGAGGCGCCAGAAGTGAGATCGAACAGTGAGAGACCATCCTTGCTATCGCACTGTAGGAAAGGCTGCAGATCATCTAGCCAGACCTCAAAGTCAACAGCCCGACCCTCAGCATCAAAGGTAAGAACATTGAGACTAGCCATGACAGGAGATGCAGCAGGCTAGCAGTAGCAGCAGTGGAACTCGGCTAAGCAGGCTAGGTAGGGCGGCGCAGCTCAGCAGGGCGGTGTGGCTTGGCAGCGCGGCGCTCTTACCAGGGGAGAGGCTGGGGCAGGGCCGGGGTAGGGCCGGGGCAGTCGAGGAGCAGGGCCGGGGCAGGGCCGGGGCAGTGCAGGAGCAGGGCCAGGGCAGGGCCGGGGCAGTTCAGGAGCAGGGCCGGGGCAGGGCCAGGGCAGAGCCGGGCCAGGGCCGGGGCAGTTCAGGGGCAGGGCCGGGGCAGGGCCGGGGCAGGGCCGGGGCAGAGCCGGGGCAGGGCCGGGGCAGGGCCGGGGCAGGGCCTGGGCAGAGCCGGGCCAGGGCCGGGGCAGTTCAGGGGCAGGGCCGGGGCAGGGCCGGGGCAGGGCCGGGGAAGAGCCGGGGCAGTTCAGGAGCAGGGCCGGGGCAGAGCCGGGGCAGTTCAGGAGCAGGGCCGGGGCATTGCAGAAGCAGGGCCGGGGCAGGGTCGGGGCAGTTCAGGAGCAGGGCCGAGGCAGGGCCGGGGCAGTTCAGGAGCAGGGCCGGGGCAGGGCCAGGGCAGAGCCGGGCCAGGGCCGGGGCAGTTCAGGGGCAGGGCCGGGGCAGGGCCGGGGCAGAGCCGGGGCAGGGCCGGGGCAGGGCCTGGGCAGAGCCGGGCCAGGGCCGGGGCAGTTCAGGGGCAGGTCAGGAGCAGGGCCGGGGCAGTGCAGAAGCAGGGCCGGGGCAGTTCAGGAGCAGGGCCGGGGCAGCGTCGGGGAAGAGCTGCGACAGGGCCGCAGCAGGGCCGAACGGGGCCTATAACGGGGCCTGACGAGGCCTATAACGGGGCCGGATGGGGATTGACGGGGCCGAACGGGGCCTATAACGGGGCCTGACGGGGCCTATAACGGGGCCGTACGGGGCCGATAACGGGGCCTTGCGGGGCCTATAACGGGGCCTGACGGGCCTTACGGGGCCTTAAACGGGGCCAAATGGGGCCTGACGGGGCCGTACTGGGCCTCTAACGGGGCCTGACGGGGCCGAACGGGGCCTATAACGGGGCCTGACGGGGCCTATAACGGGGCCGTACGGGGCCGATAACGGGGCCTTGCGGGGCCTATAACGGGGCCTTACGGGGCCTTAAACGGGGCCAAATGGGGCCTGACGGGGCCGTACTGGGCCTCTAACGGGGCCTGACGGGGCCGTACGGGGCCTCTAACGGGGCCTGTCGGGGCCTAACGGGGCCTTAAACGGGGCCGAACGGGGCCTGACGGGGCCTTACGGGGCCTTACGGGGCCTTATGGGGCCTTGCGGGGCTAACGGGGCCGTAATCCGCGCCCTAAATGGGGCCAAAAGGGGCCTGACGGGGCCTTACGGGGCATAACGGGGCCTTACGGGGCCGTAATCCGCGCCCTAAACGGGGCCTAAAAGGGCCTTACGGGGCCTAACGAGGCCGGCCTTACGGGGCGGGCGCAGGCTCTAAGGGCGGGCGCAGGGGCCGTGACGGGCCTCGAAGGGAAGGTGCGAAGCGCGCGGCAAGTAGGCAGGGGAGAAATTTCAGTGGTGGGCCCTTAAAAAAAATCTCGAAACTAGCTCTATACCATGTGAGAATGATAGACGAAAGAAATGATTGAATTAGGAAATGAGAAGGGTACAAGTAGGAAACACATAAGTGTTGTACCCTCTAAGGACTACCCCACTACAGCCTAGACCGACTATAGTAAATATATGTTTGACAGTAGTGCAAGCACAAGCAAACGACTGAGGAACGAATGCAGAGATCACTCTTGCCCCGTGCCTAGCCCGTACTCTAGCTCCCGTTGATTAAGTTATCTCCGCAGTATCGACACAGGGATGTACGCTAAGTCACATCGGACTTTCCTCGCCAAAGAGAAAACAGTGATATAGCGAGAGTAGTCGTCTGACGACCACCAGAAAGAAACTCTCTCTCAGGACCGGGGCGAGAGGCGGGGCCCCAGACGTCCAAGTGGAGAGTCTCGAAGGGCTCGGTGGCCGGACAAAGGGAGGAGGAGTGAGGGGTGGCACGCAGCCGACCCTCGACACAAGGGCCGCAAGGTGGTGCAGGCGAAGGCGGCAGCGACGGCAAGACTCGCGGGAGGCCTAAGACAAGACGCTGACTAGACATAGTGCGAAGGCGAGGAAGGGACGGGTGATGAAGACGGTGGTGCCACAGAACGGTGGGGTGGCAAGTGACCGACACAAGCAAGACGCAGCAACCGGACCTGACGCTGGAACCTGACCAGACACAGCTACCTGGTGGGAGGCGGGAACCTGGTGAGACGCGGGGACCTGACGGGGGGCAGTGACAGGGGTCGGAGGCAGCAGTTGCTGCTGCTACCTCTCTCGGGGGCCAGTGTGAAGTGTGTAGAGACCAAAGCCTGGCTCAGCGTGAAAGGTGGCCAGGGGCGCGTACGTGTCACCGTCTACACAGGTCACAGATTCCCCAGAAGGCTCACACCAAACACCCCTGTGACTACCCACGAGCGGCCTCACACCCACCAAGTTCCCGGAGAACGAGGGGACGTGGAAGCCCGTCAGGAAACCCGAGGGAACAGCCGGACACGGAAGCGTAGTAGTGTAGCGAGCGGTGATTGGTTGCGAAGTGGGATCAGCCAGGGCTACGGAGACCAGCAAAGGAAGCGGAGTAAGAGTCGTGTGAACCCTACCCTCAGTGTCAAAGCGGAGGACACTAGGCTTCGCCATAGCGGAAGCGCGGAGAAACTACAGGTGAAAATTGCCTAGAATGACGGAGTAGGGCGTGGCAAGCAAGGCGCTACATGGCAAGAAGGGAGGGACATGACGGGACGGGCACGGCGCGGCGCGACTGGACGGGCAGGGGCAACAAGCACAAGGGGAGGGGAGGGGACGGGACGGGACGGGATGGGACGGGCGCGACATATCGGGTAGGCGCGACGCGACGGGACAGGTACGGCAGGCGCGACGCGACGGGACAGGACGGGCAGATGCGACGAGACGCGACGGGCGCTAGGGAACAAGACGGACTGGCGCGACAGATGCTATGGGACGGTACAGACGCAACGCGCGCTAGGGTACGGGACAGGCTCGACGGCAAGGCGCTATGGGCGTTAGGGGGAGGAACAGGATCCCACAGGATCCTAACCTAGGTGATACCATGTTAGAAACCGAATGATGATTGACTCTTGTAGGTTGGGGTACATAAACCTAACCCTAACTGCTGTACCCCATATGACACGCATCACTAAAGGCTACGACATTTGACATTACGATATAAGAATACGAATATGTACAAGCCTAAACTTCTATCCAGGTCCCATTACTGATATCTCACATATTCCTAATATGAAGAAAAACCCAAGTATAATTAATAAAAAAGCATTAAATTAGCAACCAACCCACCTATGGTCGGACAAGTATCAGCTTGCAGGCAGCGAGTGGTTGCAGCAAGCAGTCACGGTCAAGCTTTACTAAGAGCACAGCAGCAGCGGTGCTATCAGCGAGGGAGAGCCAGCAGTTTGTTAGTTCAGCGGCAAGATCGGAGAAAGTTTGGGGAGTCAACCAGCGGTTAGAGAGAGTTACGGCAGCATATGGCTGCCATGTTAGTGGCTGAAGGTGGGAATCAAGGGATGGCACATGAGGAAGAAATGATAATACTCTTGATTCTGCTGCTGCTACTGCTGCTGTTGCTGTTGTTGCTGCTGCCGTATTCTTTCCGCTTCATCCATGCTTGTATCCCCCTCGTCATCCACCTCATCATCATCATCGTAATCATCGTCGTCATCATCATCCTCGTCCTCGTCACCGTTCCCGTCGTCCTCGTCATCGAAATCCTCGTCATCGTCGTCGTCGTCCAGGTCATCGTCGTCGTTATCCGAGAAATCGTCCCCGTCCGATCGGTGCGACGGGCTTCTCTCGTCGTCAGGCGGGTTGAGCATGCGGTTGATTTGTTGGCCTAGTGCCACCCAGCTGCAACGCGAATAGTTGAAAGTCGAAGGGGGAGGCATTGGGGTTGAGGTGAATAAGAAAGGGGAGGGGAATGATATCTGAGATGAGATATGTTGATGAAAATAAGGAGAATCAGCTTTTCAATCAAGGCACACAGAGCATGAGTTTGCGGTTGATCTGCTGCCCAAGTGTCACTCACGTGGAGACCAGCATACGTCAACATAGTTTCTGGGGAGATAAAAAGCAGCAGGGCAGCACTGACTGGTTGAAAAGCTGGCCAATGAAGGCGAGGCCGACAGCGAGCGCCATGACGAGCCCGAGAGTGCCGGCGAAGCTGGAAGGCATGTCCCAATCAATGGCCATGGCCAGCGCACATGCGAACAGCACCACCTCCGCGCCCGAGCTCACCGCCTCCACCACCTGTAGCCCTCGTTCTGTGAACGGCTGTTGGGCACGTGGAGGGGGTGGAGAGGAGGGGAGGGGAGCGAAGAATGGTGATTGGATGCTACTAGAGAGTGGTTCATTTGAGCGTGCAGCAAACAGCAGCACCTGACAGAAGAGTGTGCTTATTGCGAGTACAGAACGCGCCTGAAGGAAGAGTGTGCTTATATGAGTACAGAACGCGCCTGAAGGAAGAGTGTGCTTTTAGTGAGTACAGAACACACTTGAAGGAAGAGTGTGCTTATAGTGAGTACAGAACGCACCTGAAGGAAGAGCAGGAAGAGCAGGTGCAGCAGTGCGAGGGTGAGCAGGCATGCTTGCTGTGCCACAGCGTTGCCTGCTGGGCTCCATGCTCCCACCAGCACTCCCACCAGCACCTGCACACACACAGAGACACAGAGACAGACACAGAGACACAGACACAGATACAGACACACAGACTCAGACACAGACACAGACAGACATGGACAGACAGACACACGGACACACACGGACAGACAGACAGACAAAAAGAAGTAGGGAGGAGCGAAGAATTCCTTAAGTTGAGTGTGTGCATCGGATCAGGGTGTGTGGTTATGGGGCTGAGAGGGTAAGGTGTAAAGATTTGTAAGGGAGTGTGAGTAAAGGAGTGTGGATAAGGGAGTGTGAACAAACGGTCACACTAACTAAAAACAGCAGCCCGTACCATTTTTAGAAAGCCCAGAATGCCATAAGCAGCAACACTCACCATTTCTAGAAAGTCCAGGGCGCTGTAAACAGCAACACTTACCATTTTAAGAAAGTCCAGGGTGCCATAGGCAGCCCTCAGGCGGTCCTTGAGCACCCCCCAGGCGCCCACAGACCCCCACACTGGTACGGCACGATGCAGGGGTGAGACAGGAGGGGGGAGAGGGAGGAGTAGGGTATAAGTTAAGCAAATAAACGATGATAGAAAGGAAGTGGTGTCAGAAGCAAGATTGGTTCAACGCCTCACCTGTAAAGTCTTCAACGAAGATGCCGAATCACAGCAGGATGTGTTTCAGAGACGGTGTGATGGTGACCCACTGGCCCTTGAGCCGCTCCTGCCGCACCCATTGCGTCTCACACACTCACTGCTTCCCTCAACCCCTCAAGCGTTCTCTCATTCCCTTACCAGTAAAGTCTTCATAAAATATTCCGAACCTTGGAAAATTGTGTTTCTGAGAGGGTGTGAAGGTGACCCAGTGGCCCTTACGTTTCGAAGCCTCACCTGTAAAGTCTTCAAAGAATATCCCGAATCTCGGAAGGATGTGCTTCTGGGAGGGCGTGATGGTGACCCAGTGGCCTTTGAGTCGCTTCTGCCGGAGCGCGGCCCAGAAGGCGCGCGCGAAGGAGGCGATGCACGCCTCGTTGCGCGGCTCCGTCATCTCGCGCACAAAGAAGCGCGCGAATTGCTCCTGCGCACGGCAGGCAGGATAGGATAGTGGGGAAGGGGAGGGGAAGGAGAAGAGGAGAGGGGACGGGGGTGGAGATGAGGGTGGGGCCTGGCTCCACCATCCCCTGCTGAAGAAACGTGAAAATTGCTGCTGAAGAAGTGGCGAGTTTGAGCGGAGAAGAAAAGGAGGGGGGGAGGAAGAGTGGGAGAGTGAGGGTGGGCCTCTGTCATCTTGAGCACAAAGGAACAAACATGTCTGGAAACGGGGAAGGCGGAGGAGGGGAGATGAGGGTGGGTCCATAAGACTCACAAAACATGTGTGCATGAACTGGTGTCTGAATCAAGTAACAAATCACTACGGAGAACGGTAGAAGGAAGGGGGGGTAGGCTTGTGATGCAAAGGTTGTCAAAGAACATGCCTTTTGCGGGCCTCGGTCATCTGAGTCTTGACCTGAGAAGCCAACATCTGAGCAACTGATAAGAACACGCATGGACCCATCCAACCCACCCACCGAGCCACACCCCTTCATCTCACCTGCCTGAACAGCACGACACTCTCCTGGACAACAATGTGCCGGAGGATCGACAAGGAGACAATGAGAAACAGCACGGGCCAGAGGTGGAGACCTATCACCCCGCAGCCAGCCCACCCACCCCTGCAGCTCAAACAAGAGAGTAGCAGCACGCTTTCTTCCTCTTGGACCCACCAGAACCACACTCAAACCCACCAGAACCGCACGTGAATTCACCCCAACCCACCTGAACAACGATATACCAGACGACCGAGAAGGAGAAGATGAGGAACAGCACGGGCCAGAGGCACAGCACGATGACCCCCGTTGCCAGCCCTGCCGCCGTGCCGCCCGGCTCCATGCTCCCCCTGATGAGCAGCGTGCAGCCCCAGGAGATGCCGGCCAGGGAGAGTGCGAGGAGGAGGAATTGCAGGCGCGGCGGGTCGAGGAGGCCATAGAGCCACTGGTAGCGCCAGTGCTGCCACGCCCACTGGAAGAGCAGCTGGAGCAGCGAGAGGGCGAAGAAGAAGAGCGCGAACCAGAAGAGCACCGTGCAGAACTGCTCAAAGCTGGCGGGGGGAGGGGGGAAGGGAGGGGAGAGCAGCAGGGGCGTGGGGAAGGGAGGTGGGAGAGGGATGGGGAGAGAGAGGAGGGTTTGGGTTGGGTTGAGCAATGGCGGTTCGGGGAAAGGGGGGTGAGAGGGCGAATCAGAAGAGGGCGAACCAGAAGAGCACCGTGCAGAGCTGCTCAAAGCTGGTGAGGGGGGGGGAGGGACGGGGGGACTGGAAGTGAGAGGGGTGCGGAGAGAGAGAAAGGAGAAGAATAGGTTACTTGAGGTAGATAGATAAGGAGAAACGAAGAGCGCCAACAAGAAGCGGGCAAAGCCTGAGGATGTGAGGACGTGAGCGAACGGAAATGCATTCAGCATGAGGGCATGACACATGGCATGACGGCATGACACATGGCATGAGGCATGCAGCAATCTAAGAGGCCCGCTCACCCATGGTAGGAGTAGAAGAGGTTGGGGAAGTGCGAATAGTAAGCATCGCCCCACGCCTGCATGTACTCATACTCCTCCTCGCTCAGCCGCGGCAGCAACGTGGGGTCGAACCCCCTCGCTGCTGCTATTGCTGCTGCTGCGTCTCCCCCTGTCCCACCCCCTGCAACTGCCAGGGCTATAAGAGCAGTCGCATTAAAGCCACTGTAACCGCTTGCGCTGCTGTTGCTGGTGGTGCTGGCGGCAGTTTCTTGAAGCATTCGGTGATAGTGGGAGGGCGGGCGAGACGATAGGGACGATGGGGACGATGGGAGGAGAGTATATGGGAAGGCGGAGTGAAGGGAGGAGGGGAGAGAGAGGGCGGTCAAGGGCAGGCCTCGTAGGTGGAAGGTGGGTGGCGGTGAGAAGGGGATGGGGTGGAAGGGGAGGGCTCGAGATGACCCCAAACTGCGGCCGTGCGTCCGGCTCGGATGTGACATGGCATGCTGCATGTGCACATGTGACTTGGTTAGTTGCCGTGCTTGCACATGCGCGTGGGCATGCGCATGGGCATGGGCATGGGCATGGGCATGGGTATGGGGCGGCAAGGAGTCGGCAGTATTGAAGCGGTCGGGGAGAGAGCGAGGGGAGCGGATTGTGTGAAAATGAGGCACACGGTGGGAATGTGAGGGAGAGGGAGAGGAGAGAGAGGAGAGGAAGAAGTGGAAGGAGGAGGAGAGAACACGGCGGAGATTGCGCGGGTTGAGGGAGGCGTGTGTTGCTGTGCTGTCAGCTGCTGTGTCGCGTGCTGGTGCTGGGGAGAAGAACTTAGACCAGAAAGAGAGCTTGGATTGTGCCGAGGCTGAGGGGTTGGAGGCGGAGGCGGAGGCAGAGCTGTCTGCCTTGGTGGCGAGGTAGTGCCTGGTGGGGTGGGCGGGGAGAGGAGGGGAGAAGAACGGTCGAGAGGGCTGAACAGATGGGTTGAGAGGGGTTGGAGGAGGACGAGGAGGCAGAGCTGTCTGCCTTGGTTGCGAGATAGTGCCTGGTGTGTGGGAGGGGAGAGATGGGGGAGGGAGAACAACGGGACAGAAGGCGGAACTGAGGGGTTAATCATGGTTGAAGGGGGTTGGAGGAGGAGGATGAGGAGGCAGAGCTGTCCGCCTTGGTGGTGAGGTAGTTGGGGAGAGTTGGGGAAAAGAGGGAAAACGGGGGGAGGGGAGGCGGAGAACAATGGGACAGAGGACAGAACATAGGGGCTGAGAGGGGGAGAGGAGGCAGAGCTGTCCGTTTTGGTGGCGAGGTAGTGCCTGGTGGAAGGGAGGGGAGAGAGAGATGGAGGCAGGGGTTGAGAGGGGGGCGGGCGAGGCCTGCGATGCGACTCAAATATCCGAGCTGAGAGGAGTGGTGGGTGTTGAATTGAACGACTGCCCAGGGCATTCACGATGCACAGGAACGACTGCCCAGGGCATTCACGATGCACAGGAACGACTGCCCAGGGCATTCACGATGCCCAGGAACGACTGCCCAAGGCATTCACGATGCACAGGAACGGTATACACGCCCTTCCAGCCTTCAAACGAGCATGGCTCAAAATATCATGTGACTCAAAAATGGGATGGTATGAGCGAAGCACTCACGGAGCACAGGAGGGCGGGGGGGTGCTGCTGTCCTGCCCGGGGGCGTCAGTGGGAGAGGAGTAGACGCCCTTCCAGCCATCAAAGGAGCTCTTGAAGGGCGCAGGGATGTAAAAGTAGGTCCAGCGCAGCCCCCCTGTGAGCTGGCGGTAGAACAGCGGCAGCACCCGCACTGCCAGGTGGTGTGTGAGGGCGAAGAATTGCAGGTGCATGGCCATGCGCTGCAAGGGACAAGGGCGGGAGGGGAGTGACACGGGGAGAATGAGTGAGCCCCCACCCAGGTTGTGTGTGAGTGAGCCCCCACCCAGGTTGTGTGTGAGTGAGCCCCCACCCAGGTTGTGTGTGAGTGAGCCCCCACCCAGGTTGTGAGTGAGTGTGAGGGCACCGACTTGCAGGTGAATGGCCATGCGGTGTGGTGAGGGGCGAGTGGAGGTGGGAGACGAGGTGGGGTGTGACTCGTTGATGCTGACTGCCTGCCAGGCTGTCCTGTCGGGCACACCACCAACTCACCAGAACGTTTCGAGAGGGATCCGCCCCCACGACGGGCGTGCTGACGGCACGGAAGGGGCGGTTGGAGACGATGCGAATGCCCGGCGAGGACGTGGGGTCGGACTCCTTTATGGTGACGGCGAGGGACACCGCTGCTGTGGACAGCGCCGTCCACCCCACCACCGCCGTCACCACCCACGCTGCTATCGTGCCGGCATCTCCTGGCGCGTCTGTATGGGAGAGAGAGGGGGGCGGGGGAAAAGAGAAGGGCGAGCCGCCCCACAATGTCGGCGCGTTGGGACGGGGAGAGAGCAGCAGTGTGCTATCCTGCCGTGTGTGTGTGAGGGAGAGTGCTACCCCACAGTGAGTGAGGGAGGGAGAGTGCTACGCCACAGTGAGTGAGGGAGGGAGAGTGCTACCCCACAGTGAGTGAGGGAGGGAGAGTGCTACCCCACAGCGTAGGAGGGAGAGAGTGTTAACCCAGAGTGACTGAGGGAGAGTGTGTTGGCACATACAGTGAGCGAGGGAGGGTGTGTTCGCACATTCAGTGAGAGAGGGAGAGTGTGTTGGAGGGCGAGTTGAGGTTGCATGCAATATCCACCACTGTTGACTTTTGGTTCGACTAAATAGGAGAGTGTCAACCCATTGTGTGTGTGAGAGAGAGTGTGGACCCACAGTGAGCGAGGGAGAGGGTGTTGGAGGGCGAGTTGGGGTTGCCCGCCATGTCCACCACCGTTGCTGCCGGCACCGCTACTGTCACGTCGCCATCGCTCACTGCCGCCACCGTCACCTCGTAGTACCGCCCCAAACCCCTGTCAACCCCTGTCCAGCTGGAACAGGAATGGGAGATGGCAGACCATGATGGGGGCATGGAACATGGTGCGGGGAGATGGCATGGTGCGGGGAGATGGCATGGTGCGGGGAGATGGCATGGTGCGGATGAAGGGAGATGACATGGAACATGGTGCGGGGAGATGGCATGGTGCGGATGAAGGGAGATGGCATGGTGCGGATGAAGGGAGAGGAGAACAACACAAACACATGTCGCCGTCGCTCACCGCCACCGTTGTCACCTCGTAGCGCTACTATAATCCAGGTGATAAGCGCATGCGCATGTGCCATACCTTGGTGTGCCATAGCAGCAGTAATCTCGGTCACCAGATAATGACCCCATTGAAGAGCTGCCAAGAGGAGCTGTTCAACCCGGCCACAGGCTCTGAGAAGGCCGGACAAGGATGGGGTAGACCTCACATCCATGCGATGGCAGCCCATAGCCCCAGCCATGCAACACCACAAACATGTATCTCACTCACCATGTAATGACTCCATTGGAGAGCTGGATGGAGGAGGTGTTAAAGCCCAGAACGGGCTCTGAGAAGGCGACCAGGATGGGGTAGACCCAGTCCGTGGTGGCGCTGCTCTCACTCACGCTCAGCTGCACTGCTGGAGCAGTGGTGTCTAGAGTGAGCGGGGACGGGGAGGAGGGAGGAAGGGCGGGAGGGATGGAGGGAGGATGGCGAAGTGCCAGGATGTGAATGCAGAAGAAACTCAAGTAGAAGGGGCGTTCACACCCAAGTAGAAAGTCAAGGGTTTTGCTTGTGCAGGGCAGTTATGAGAATTCGAGAAAATGCAACAAAAAGTGCGACAAATGGACAGAGCAGACTGCGGTGGGGGGGAGAGCAGGCTGCGGTGGGGGGGAGAGCAGACTGCGGTGGGCTGCGTGGGCTGGCAGGTGGAAAAAAGAAAAGCGTGACATGGAGAGCACACGACAGAGTGGGGCGGGCGGGGTGGGTGGAGGGCAGACAAGACTGACCAAAGAAGAAGAAGAAGGGCTGTGTGGGCTGGCAGGTGTTGCCGGCAGCATCAGTGACGTTGTCATGCCGTATGTCCACCACCACTGACCCCTCGCCTGTGGGCCACACCTGTCAGTCATATCACATGCCATCAGGAAAGGCGAGAAATGGAAAGGAGTGATTGGTGGGTTAGGGTAGGCAAGAGCGTGCAGCAGCATGGGTGACGTCCTCATCTCATGGCGCATGCCCTCCACCACTGCCCCCTCGCCCGTCAGCCACACCTGCCATACGGCATCACCGAAGGAGCAAGGGGAAGGATTGATGGTCGACGGGAGCATGCAAGCAGTGAAGCACTGAAGTCCTCATGCCGTATATGATATATCCACCACCACTGGGCCCTCTCATGCGGGCCACACCTGCCAGTGTTGATGGTTGAATTCTAAAGGTAAACTCGGAGTGGGATGCATGGTGCGAGGGAGCAGTGAGCAACATGTGTCTGTGTGGCCTATGTCCAGCACCACCCACCACTGGTACCCCAACACACCAGAAACTGGTTCTGTGCTCAGTTCTTCACAACCCTCACGTCACCTCAACTGGAACTGGTATTCCAGGTCAGGCACAGCTTGGGGGTCGCTGGTGGTGGCGCTGACTCACAGTAAACCCCGTCCCGTCCAAGTCTTATCATCTGTGAATTAACTCTTTCGACAACCCACCTAGAAAGAAGCTGTACCCTGTAATCCCCTCGAAACAGAACCCACCTGGAATTGGTCGGTCACGGGCTGGGGGTCGCTGGTGGTGGCGTTGACGACGGCGAGGGATGCGGATGACATGACAAGGCAGAGACTGACTTGGAGAAGAGAAGAGCACCCGGCACGTCACATCACGGGCGACTGACTGACTCTTACAGCCTGAATCTGACATTGACCGACTCACAGTAAAACCCATTAAAAAGTTCCACTTTCAAAAATGTAAAAAGAAGAAAAGGAAAAAAGGAAACCCACCTGGAATTGGTACTCAAGGTCAGTGACAGGCTGGGGGTCGCTGGTGGTGGCGTTGACGACAGCGAGGGATGAGGAGGAGAAGGAAGAAACGGGCTTGGAGAAGAGCACCCGGCACGTCACGGGCGACTGGCTGACTCGTGGCGTGGCTCGGAGCTGCATGAAGAACTTGACCACTGCCAAGGGCGTGTCGCACGAGAGAGTGGCCTCCAGAGGGGCGCGGTCTGGAAGGCGGGAATGGAAGGGGTGGAATGGGAGGAGGTTAGAGTTGGGTGCGGTTCGAGGGTGTAGTAATGGGTGACTGGCTGGACGTGTGGCGTGGCTCTGAGCTGCATGAAGAACTTGACCACTGGAACGGGCGTGTTGCACAAGAGAGTGGCCTCCAGAGGGACGCGGTATGGCAGTCGGAGGGGAAAAAGTGGGGAGTGGGAGAGGTAGGGCGGGGTGGGTTAAACTTCCAGTGGTCGGGCGAGAGGCACGGCGAGAGGCACGGCGAGATGCACGGCAAGAGGCACGGCGAGAGGCACGGCGAGAGGCACGGTGAGAGGCACAGTGAGAGGCACGGTAAGAGGCACGGTGAGCAGCACGGTGAGAAGCACCGAGGGACGAACATGAACGTTGGAGAATGGGGCACCGAGGCATGTGGTCCAATCTCTCCACACCACTAGGCAACTCTGCCAGTCATGAGCTTACCTATCCTGATAACAGCATACGACTCAAACCCTGCCCTCCATGCCCTCCCACTAGAGTCAGCACAGCTGCCCGGTCTTAAAGCCACAGTCACAGCGGCGCCACTCGCACTGCTACTGCTGCTGCTGCTGTCGCCGCTGCTGGTAGAATTGCTGCTGTCAGTAGAGTCGTTAGCACTGCCTCCGGTACTGCTGCTACTACTACTGGTGGTGGCGGGTGGCAGGGTGGCAGTGACGGAGTATCGACTCCCGTCCTCTGATGACAGGAACGAGGAGGGGTCGATGCTCACTATGCCCTGCGGTGATGCCTCCACCTGACGTGTGTGAGCGAGGAAAGGGGAAGGGGAGGGTGGGAGAAGATGGGGGGGATGAAGAGTAGAGAGATAAGGTAGGGAAGCAGCGAACAAGGAGGGGTGGATGGTCACTATGCCCTGCGGAGATGCCTCGGCCTGAGGCGTGTGAGCGAGGAAAGGAGAGGGCGGAAGTGCGGACGGAGGGGAGGGGAGGAGGGGAGAGGGGGGAGGAGGGAATTCGTTGGTTTAAATGCCGGGAAAACTCGAGGTTGGGAGCGATGGGATCAGGTTGGGTGGGATGGAGGGAGCCTAATGTGACCGAGGGGGTACACACTGAGGGTACACGAACAGTGAAAGCGGGCCTAAACAATACGTCATGTAAACAAGTGCTCCATTTAATTTTCATAGAAGCGATGTATGCAGAGAGGCACTCACGTACATCACACGCAGTGGCATTGCACTGCAGGCCCGGGCACGGCTGGTCAAACGAAATGCTGATGCACACTGAGCCCCCCCGCACTTGTGGCGTTTGGGGGCGCCTAAACGGAGCGAGGCATATACAAAGTGCAGCAATCACGTACATCGCACGCAGTGGAGTTGCACTGCAGGCCCGGGCACGGCTTGTCAAAGGCTATGCTGATCTGCACCGCGCCCTCCCTTGCTTGTGGCGGGTCCACTGTCAGCGTTGGCACTGGACTGGCTGCGTCTGATGGGGCACACAGGAGGAGAGGACGGTAGAGAGGAGTGGAGAAGGGTGGAGAAGGGCGTCTGAGAGTGTGATATCCAAGATTGGGCTCTTGACAGGGAGCTACGCCTCTCCTTTTGCAGCTGCACTCAGCGATACTGTGGGTGTCCTGTATCCATCACACAGCCAGCCAGTCAGCCCCTCACCCGTCCCACCCACCCTCCCACCCATGCACTAATGCACCCACCCACCAACCCACCGGTGCACAGCTGCCCCAGGCGAGAATTCTGCAAACGTGATTGCGGAGAACTGAGTGATAGAATGTGATGAGAGCACTGAGAAAGAGGAAAGACAAGGCGAGACTTACCAACGACCCATTCATATGTGGCCTGCGCCTGAGCCTCCACCTGCGCCCCTCCCCCTCCTCTCTCTCCCCCCACCCCTCCTCCCCCCTCTGCCCCGTCCATCCCAACAGCAGCAGCAGCGGCCTGCAGGCGGCTGCCAGTGACCCCTTTGGCGCCCTTGAGCGCCGTCACTGTGAAGTGGTGCCGCCCGTCCGTCAGCCCGCGCGCTGTGAACCACCCGCGAGGGCAGGGGAAGCTGGGAAGCGCGTCTAGCTGCGGGGGGACGGGGAGGGGCGCAGGGGGGGGGGCGGAGGAGGGGCGAGGGGCGGACGGGGAGGAGAGTGGCGGAAGAGGGAGGGGATGACGTTTGAGTGGATCCACGCCTGCAGGCGGCTGCCAGTGACTCCTGGGGCGCCCTTGAGCGCTGTGACTGTATGAGGCTGCCCGCTGTGAAGCACCCGCGAGGGCCGGGGAAGCTGGGAAGCGAGTCCGGTTGTGGGGCCACCCAAGGGGGTCGGGCCTGCGGGATGAAGGGGTTGAGTGTTTTCCACATGTGCAGTGCCAGTGACCCCTGAAGCGCCCTTGAGCGCCGTGACTGTGAAGAGGTGCCGCCCGTCCGAGAGCCCGCACGCTGTGAACCACCCTCGCGGACAGGGGAAGTGTGGGGGGGTCGGGGAGGGAAGGGGATGGCGGGGTGAGAGGAGATGAGGCGGGTGGAAGTGAGGTGGGTGGGTGAGGTGAGAGAAGAGGTGGGAGAGGGAGACAGGAGAATGAGGTGAGAGAGGGAGGTGAGAGAGGGAGGTAAGAAGGGGAGGTGAGACGGGGAGGTGAGAGGGGGAGGTGAGAGAGGGAGGTAAGAGGGGGAAAGAAGCATGTGCTGAAGGGTGTGTAGGGGAGGACGCCTGCAGAGGCGCTTTGAACCCTTGGACGTTGCACAAGGATGAAGCGAGTGAGGAAAGGTGGGAACAGGAGGAGGCGGGGAGGCATGGGCAAGTGAGGGAAGAGAGGATGGGGAAATGAAGGAGGAGAGGATGGGGAAGAGCTGGGGTGAGGGCATGGGAGGACGCACCTTGCAGAGGAAGGTGCAGGCGTCACAGCGCGCAGGTGAGAGCGCGTCTCTCGTCTCCAGCACCTGCCACGAGAACCGCGCGCGCCCCACCTTGGACACCACCCCTGGCCCCCGCACAAACGACACTGCCACTGCGGGCGCGGACGCTACAGATGCTGGAGGCGCGACAGATGCTACAGACGAAGCGGGTGACGCGGACAAACGCGCTTGCAGTGCAACAAGCGCCGTACCACCTCCGCCCCCAACACTGTCACCAGCACCACTGCCAACGCTACCACCAGCATCGCTACTGCTGCTGGTGGCTCTTGGTATCGCAGCTGCTCCACTCGCCTCTCCCACTCCTGCCCCTGCACCCGAACCTGCGGCTGCACCCGAACCTGCGGCTGCACCCGAACCTGTGGCTGTAGCCGAGCCTACAGTTGTAGACGAATCAAATGCTGTGGCCGAGCCAACAGCTGTGGCGGCGCCAGAGGGAGGCTGCTCCTGTAGCGGCTGACCTGGCTGCGGCTGCTTCAGCGCGACTGGGACGAGCACGGCCGTGAGGCGAACCGCTGCCTGTAACACCTGACAGGGTAACTGCTGGAAGCCCCCGCAGAGGCGACACGGCTGTGCTACCTCCGCGGACGCTGTCACTGTAACGGTAAGGGTTGCGTTGACGATAGGGTTACCAGCAGTGCTGCTGTTACTGCGTGCTGGGTTGCGACTGGCGGCAGGCAGAGCCCACGACACGTCGCCCATGTAACACGCGAACGGGCGGGTGCCTCCGCACCGACCCACGGGCCTGCACGGCCCTGCTGTCAGCATTTCGCGGCTGTTAACGCGTATAGACTGTACCGTCTGGTCGGGCCAGTCGAAATCGGTAGGGACCACACCCACTGCGAGAACGTACGTCAGTCGCCACGCCGAGCTGTTGTAACTGTCGCTGTTGTTCGCATCAGCATGCGACGGTAACAGCCCTGTGGAGACCGACACCGTGCAGTTCGGTCCAACCCCCCCCGCCCCAGCGTTCTCCGCACCTCCCGCGCCAGTCCCCGCACCAGTTCCACCCGCGCTGGTTCCCCCCGCGCCCGTGCCCCCCGGAAGCGGCCCCATAACGGGGTCATCCTCGCGGCGGTCGGGCGGAACGAGCGGGGAGGCGCAGAAGGTGTCGACGAAGGAGAGCACGCGGTAGGTTGAGGGGAGGACTTGCGCGCGCGCGGGGGGGAAGCGGAAGAGGAGGAGGAGGAGGAAGGAGAGGACGAGAGGGTGGCGGAGGGGAAGGCGGGCGGAAAGGGAGGGAGATTTGGCTGCTAAACGAGGACGACGCGGAGCAGTCAGGATGTTAGCGGAAGCACAAGCAGAGCTCGAAACCCTAAACGCACCCATTTTCTCCCTATCCCAACCACCCTTCCTTGCGCCGTACCGTGCACTCTCCTCCGCTTCGCCGCTAGCATCCTAAGACCATTCTAGGACTTCTGCTAACTAGGAGCGTTATCCTGATCTTACGATTCTTGGGTTAGCTCAACAGAAACGCCACCTAGAAATTATACGTGGGTGGGAAGGAAGTTCGTATTGGGGTATAAATAGCGGCGGTAGTAGTTGACCGCACACGAGGAAAGCACTTGACGTGGGTGGATGGAACGGTGGCACAACTGTACTGTACCGCGTTTCGACATTGTGCGGAACGGTGGGCGGGTATTGTGGTTCCTCCCACCGCTACTGGCCCGGTTTTGGCGGGTACCTCCACCCCCGACAGCGGGTGCAGACCAATTGCTGGCGACTTTTGTTCGTGAAGGGGTGCAGCTCCTAACGAGCGTTGACGAGCTTTCATATATTTGTAAATCTATAACACAAGAAGAAACGAAGTGGGTTACCTCTGTAAGGTAGATTAAGGTTATATTAAGGTCGTAACCAGGGCTAATTTTATAAGTGTAAATCACCCTAACACACTGATAATCAGGGTGGTTTTTGGTAGTCACACAGATGGCTGTTGGAATAACCGAAAAGTTATCGTAACATTCCCGAAGGCTCTCCACTCACGCATCACTCCATAACAAAGTAACGTGTCTGTATCAGTACCGCAATAGCTCATACAGAGCATGCAGAAGATAGAGACTCACCCGAAGGTCAACAGTCGAAGACAGTCAACGGTCGTGACCCTTGACCGCCCAGTAACCGCACTTGGTAGTTACGCGATGCAACATGGTAACTGTCAAGAAAAACAATACTCGTGGTTACTGTAGCAATGTAATTCAGTTAATAAGGGAATGTACCCCTCAGAGTACATGGCTAGCTAGGAATGCTATTTATGTCCTTGTACTTCTACCTTATAATTATCTTGTTCTCTTTCAACTTTTAATAACAAGGTCACCATCAAGGCTTCTTTGCCTTCTCTTAAACTTAGCAGACTTATCATATCCACTACGATCCTTCTGTTATAACAACATGGTATCAGAGCTAGAGTGGATCATAAGGCTTGTCAATAATCTTGTTACGGTATTTCTAGAACAAACTCTTTAAATATTACTCATTAAAACTATTACAAATCTGCATCACTATGGCTCCCGAAGGAAAAGCCACTGCAGATTCTCCGGGCCCATCACCAGCAACCCCTACTACGCCATCAGCGGTGACCTCCGTCAGCGCCGCTCTCGTTGAGCACCTAGTCGCTCGCATCAACGCCCTTGAGAGCCATCAAGCCATGAGCATCGATGGCTCGAGCTACGCACGAGGAGTTGCTGAACTCCCTCTCCCTAGAGAAGACCGCCGCGTCAACTCCGAGAGCCATAGTGGCTTCGTCCGCGTGTGCCTCTCACCTCACAGCAGGTGCACGACTGGTACGGTCGCCGTCAGGGTCGCGCTTCTGGAGCTCGGGGCTCTGCCGCTGGAGGTACTTCTGCTGACGTCACTGGAGCTGGGAGTGGTGCTGGTCCCGGAGGTGCTCGTACTAGAGGTACTGGAGCTGCTGGGGCTGGAGGTGCTGAGCTTGAGGGTGCTGCTGCTGGAGACACTGAGGCTGGAGACCCTGGGACTGGAGGTGCCGGTTCTGGGGGTGCTGCTGCTGGTGGAGCTGGTCCTGGAGGAGCTGGAGCTGAGGGTTCTGGAGCTGCTGGAGGTGCTGGGACTGCTGGGGGTGCTGGAGCTGCTGGTGCTGGTAGCACTGCACAGCCGCGCCTGTTCTTTGCTCCACCGTCTCCGTCGTCTCAGCCACCGTCTGACTCTGTGCTTCGCCAGGTTCTTAGTCTCCCTTCGTCCACTGGTCTTCCGTTACAGCCTGGCTCACCGCTGCCTGCTCCTTCTCCTTACACTGAGCAGACAGGGGGTCTTACTGAGCGACGTGAGCCTGCGTCGCGTCCTGTCTCGCCTGTTCGTTCTGGTCGTTCCGGTCATCGTGTTCCTCGTTCGTGTCAGCCGGCTGTCCCCGGCACCCACCTTGTAGTCCGTCGTCCTTCCTCTCCTCCGCAGAGTGTTCCCCTACCGTCCCCTCCTGCGTCTTCTCTGTCTACCGTTCCTGAGCCTGAGTCTGACCGCGCTCGTGCTGCTCACCCTACTGTCACGCGTCTGCTAGCCACAGTTGTCACTGACCCATCGTTTGAGTCTGCTGCTGCGTCTGCCCAAGTCGCTGAGCTTGTTGACTTTGCTGCTGCCTGTCGTCTAGACTACGCCGCGAGTCTTGTTGCTGAGTCTGAGTCTGTCTGTCCTCCGTCCGTCGGGGGTGAGTGTGCTCTTGGCACGGACGTCCTTGAGGACAGGCAGGAGGACCTTGAGTGTCTTGCAGCCGCTGCGCCTCATCTCGTGTCCATGCTGCTTGCCCCTGAGGGAGACCCGGATGCTCCAGACATCCCGACCCCGCACTCTTACGCTGAGGCGATCGTGGGTGAGTACTCCTCTCAGTGGCAGACAGCCATGGACGCAGAGATGGCATCCTGGAAGTCCACAGGCACGTACGTCGACGAGGTTCCCCCTCCTGGGGCGAACATCGTCAGTGGCATGTGGATTTTCAGGGTGAAGCGGCCACCAGGTTCTCCGCCTGTCTTCAAGGCTCGTTACGTTGCTCGAGGTTTCAGTCAGCGAGAGGGAGTTGACTTCTTCCAGACCTTCTCCCCCACCCCGAAGATGACCACTCTTCGGGTGCTGCTGCACGTTGCCGCTCAGCGTGACTACGAGCTTCACTCTCTTGACTTCAGCACAGCTTTCTTGCAGGGCAGCCTGCACGAGGAGATCTGGCTGCGCCGCCCGCCTGGCTTCACTGGGTCGTTCCCTCCTGGTACCCAGTGGAGCCTCCAGCGGCCGGTCTACGGTCTCCGCCAGGCGCCACGTGAGTGGCACGACACACTGAGGACGACACTTGCGGCTCTTGGGTTTGCTCCGTCGACTGCTGACCCGTCGCTGTTTCTGCGCACCGACACTTCGCTGCCACCGTTCTACATCCTCGTGTACGTCGACGACTTGGTCTTTGCCACTGCTGACACTGAGGCTCTCGCCCTGGTGAAGTCGGAGCTGCAGAAGAGACACACGTGCACAGACCTGGGTGAGCTGCGCAGTTACCTTGGCTTGCAGATCACCCGGGATAGAGCACGCTGCACCATCACCCTGACTCAGTCACACATGGTGCAGCAGGTCCTTCAGCACTTCGGCTTCACCTGGTCCTCGGCACAGGCCACTCCTCTGGCTACAGGTCCCTCGCTCTCAGCTCCACCTTCGGACGAGTCCGTAGAGCCGAGTGGTCCTTACCCAGAGCTAGTTGGCTGCCTCATGTACCTGATGACCTGCACTCGTCCTGACCTCGCGTACCCTCTTGGCCTTCTGGCTCGCTACGTGGCTCTTGGTCGACACCGAAAGGTGCACATGGATGCTGCTAAGAGGGTACTGCGCTACTTGTGCAGTACATCGGGCATGGGGCTCGTGCTTGGAGGACGGGGCGACGTTGTCCTCACTGGTCACTCGGACGCTTCTTGGGTTGACGACCAGGCTACGCAGCGGTCGTCACAAGGTTACACCTTCAGCCTTGGCTCTGGTTCAGTTTCTTGGCGTTCTACACGCTCGTCTTCAGTTCTCAGCTCCAGTTGTGAGGCTGAGATCTACGCCACAGCCATGGCTGCACAGGAGTTACGCCGGCTCACCTACCTGCTGACCGACTTGGGAGAGCGGCCTCGTTCTCCTCCAGTGCTGTACGTCGACAACAAGGCCGCCATTGCCTTGTGTCAGGAGCACAGACTGGAGCACAGAACGAAGCACATCGCTCTGCGTTACTTCTTGGCTCGAGAGTTGCAGCAGCGTGGTCAGCTTCGTCTCGCACACGTGGCCACTCGGGCCAACACTGCTGATATATTCACCAAGGCACTTCCGTCTGGTGATCATCAGCGTTTCTGCACTTTGTTAGGCCTTGTGCCCACTTTTCCTCACTTGCTGTAGACTTTGCTTATACTGTGATCTATATATAGTCCTGCATGCATGCTGTGCTAAGTAGAGATCAATGTACTATTGTTGTTGCATATATACCTCTGCATGTGAACTGGCCTTGTGGCTCTTTGCTTGTGCTCAGTGTGTGTGGTGACATTGTGATCCCCCCTGAGCTTCCTTTGCTTCTCTTGACTGGTCTTGTGACCCCTTACTCTCCCCCACTTTGCCTATGGGGGTGTGTCAAATTATATGCCTATGTCATAATAGAATGTAGGCTTTAGTGGGGTAGCTAATGTAGGGTATAGTTTTTTGTTACTTGTACCCAACTTTCTCGATAGTGCACCAACTTTTTCCCTTCACTCTCGACAGTCATTTACCCTTGACAATCGTCAAGCTTTAGCTCCTGTGCAAGACAGTCAACATCGCACACAGTCAGAGACAATTGCAACAATGCAAACAACGTTTGTTCTGACTTCAAAGCTGAAGACGTCAGTTCCCTTCGACGGCAAGGACTTCTACACGTGGTGCGGAGATAACTCTATCAATGGGAGCTAGACTGCGGGCTAGGCACGTGGTAGGAGGGATCTCTGCGTTCGTTCACTTGGTCGTTCTCTAGCACTTGTGCGTTCACAGGGCAAAACCGCAAGAGTTTCACTAGCAAAAGTTGAGAACAATGGTAGCAACTAGATTGGCAAGGTAGACTACATCAAAAGCCTAGCATACAAGTCGACCACCAGCTCAGCACGAAGGCGACTTGCCAACTGGTCGACCTCAGGCGTCCTCAGTCGACCTGCAAGGCTGGCGTGCCAACAAGCCACCACAGGTCACCACACGTGCTCATGTGTGCGCACCTACATCGCAGGTGCAAGGTGTCAGAAGAATGAACGAGAATGAATCAACTATGAAACAGTTGGGTACAAGTACTAACCTTAATTAGGTTGTACCCCTTATGGGCTACACAAATGTAAGCACTAAAACATTCT